GTTGCAGTTGCCACATTGCACTGGCAGCATTCATGCATTTACCCCTTGTGACCTCCTCAGCCCTCATGTGATTCACTGCTTTTGAAGATACAGCATTCTCCCCCCTCACACCCAGCCCAAAAACATGCTTTGTATTTTATCCTATGAACAGACAGCAACTTCAGCTTTGATGCACAGATATTTGCTGTGTAGGTGGATTAAAACACGTGTTATTCAAGGGGCCCAGGTGGCCTTGGGCTGTTTTGAAGTCATCTGCAGTTTTCATGAGCAGTGCTTCATATAATTCCAAATAATTATTTGGGATAACAAAGCAGCCCTGGGTCAAGAACAGGCTTCTCTGAAACCTAATTAAAAAGTCTATCATCTGACATTTTTCACTTGAATTTCTTTATAATACTTCTTTATACACAGCCTTTAATCTGCTTAGTACACATTATAGTGATACAGTTCTAAATGTGACTTCTTATGTTGGAAGCACCTCCAGCCTGCTCTGGACTGAAGAGAAGCACTTGCACCAGGCATAACAGTTTACAGAAAGGCCATCATAGAGAGGATTAGCATAACAATAAACCAGATGAACATGTTTCTTCTCATAAGACAAAATCGATCAGGTTACTGATAATAGTAGTTAAGGATTGGGAAGGGCAATGTAAAATCTGTGAAGGAAAGTTTCAAGAACAAGTTAGACAGATGTTGGAGGAGTTTGGTAAATACAGTTGATCGTGCCTTGAACATTGAACTACGTGACTTTTCAAAGAACTTTGCAGTTCTTTTCTTCTGTAATTGATGTTACTGCCACGTCCCACAAACAAATGAACTTGGGCCACGTCTGTGCTTAACCACTGCCTTAGAGGTGACAAAGTACATAAAGCAGGAATTGCATAAAGGATGTTGGGATATTTGATTCTGTAAATATGACAGATGGGGAATAACCTGTCTGCTTTATTAAATGTGAGATCCCTGTGGGAAAGCAGCAATGTACCTCAGTTGAGGTAACTACACACATTGCCTAATACCTCCCTTGAGACAAAACTGAAGCCAGGAAAATCACAGAATGATAGCACAGTTTGGTTGGAAAGGACCTTTAAGGGTCATCTAGTCCAAACCCCCTGCAATAACCAGGGGTATATTCAACTAGATCAGGTTGTTCTGAGCCCTGTCCAACCTGATCTTGAATGTTTGCAGAGATGGAGCATCAACAACCTCCCTGACAGGGTTTAACCCCCTTCATTGTAAAAAAAAACCAAACAAAAACAACTTCCTTATATCTAATTTAAATCAACCTTCTTTCAGTTTAAAGCCATTACCCCTTCTCCTGCTGAAACAGGCAAATACCTCTTCCACTCTCTCCCAGGCTCTTTAAGTACAGGAAGGCTACAAGGACTGGCCACAAGGTCTCTCTGGAGCCTTTTCTTCTCTGGGCTGAAAAATCCAACTTGCTCAGATTTTCTTCATACCAGAGGTGCTCCAGCCCTCTGAGCATCTTCATGGATGGACCCAAACTGGACCCACTCTAACAGGACCACACTTTTCTTGTGCTAAAGATCCCAGAGCTGGACACCCAGTGGGGTCTTAGAATAACCTTTTTTGACCTGTTGCCTGGGGAGAGAGGAGTTGCAGGGAATTAAAAATTCAGCTGACTCCCTAGCAAGATAATCTGGTATAAAAAATTAGTGCATCAAAACTTTATGTGTTCTGATTCTATGCAAATTCAATGCATCTACATTATCACAATGAACTGGAGTTGATCAGAGATACTAGAAGAATAAATATCTGTAAGATTAATTGTTGCTCTGATTTTTAAGATTTTCTAAAGCCTTCTGAGTTTATATTCTTGTAGAAAACTTTTTCACACAACTTTCTGCAAACAACTTCTTGTTTTACATTCCTTCGTAGAAGTAGAGAAGTTTGATGTACTGGTGGTTTGTTTAGTGTTGTTAGAGAGGTGGTATGTTCACACTCTAATCTACTGTCACCTTTAGGAAAGTATGCATGTTAGAATCAGAAATAAAACCTTCTCTTTTTTACCTTTGCAATAACAGCAGCTCACATCGTGCTTTCACATGTTGTATAGTGACAATTAATAAATTATCAGGAAGACGAGGAGGACTCACAACCTGTAGTGCAGACACATTTGAATGCAGCAGCCCTTCAAGTCACTCTTCTTTGGAAATAGAGTATGTAGACTTAAAATTATTAGTGTCAGCTATTAAAAAATACATCCTTGAAGTAAAGCTGAACTCTTATTCAACCTAAGGGTCTTACAGAGATGTTTTACTAGTAATCTCTGAGGCACAAACTACTAGTATTACATCTTTTAAATGGAGAATGAAATTAGTTTCCACTCAGAGTTTGACTACTGCTTGAAGCAGGTTCAAAAAAACCCCACTACTTTTATGAAGGTGGAGTTTCTACAGCCACTGTTGCTGCCTTTGGGTATCTCAGGGTTTGGAAAAGTGCTTTTTACAAGCTTCAAGACTTGGGTTTGGGGGCTGATGTCAAATACCAGGTGAAATAAAAGTCCCTTCTGGTGACAGTACCCTTCTAGCAATGAGTAGACAGTGGCAAAGAAACTTAAAACTGCAGGAATGAATTAGTTTGTTTCACAAAGCCATTAAAGTAAGAGAACTTTTAATAATAACTGATAATAGAAAAGGGAGCTGAAATGAGAAGAAACCAAAGGTATGATAAGATAAAAGCTTATTCTAGACATAAGGGCAGGGTTGTAGCACAACAGCTCAGAGGAGACCAATTAAGATGAAAAGTGTAGGAGGAGCAGAAAAGAAGTAGGATTTACTATGAGCAATGTTTCATCCTTTGGGATTGTTATGGTAGCATTTATTATCCTGGGCTTCTAGTGGGAGGTGTCCCTGCCCATGGCAGGGAGATTGGAACTGGATGATCTTTAAGGTCAAATGCAACCCATCCTGTTGTTGTATGATTTTGTCATGTCTGAGCCAAAACCAACATATAACAGAAAAACTTAACAAGATAAAATGAAGATGGAGAAACTATTACTATTACTAGCAACTCAATTTTCACATTAAGTCTTTACTTTTTGATCATTATCTGTACTCTGTCTCAGTTTCCTGTTACAAGCAATTTTCCTATCTTTAGAGTAATAATGAAAGATTTCCACTGACAGCAGAAAGGATCTTGAATAAAATTGCTTAGCCTGAACTGAGTGGCAGAAGGTAACATGACTTCTTCTCTGCTCTTAGTTTACTCCATAATACTGCTTATTTGCTCTGCTCTGCTGCAGGAAAACACACCAGAAGTGAATGCCTTATTCTCCCTGTCCAAGCCCTCTGACCAGTGTCTAAGCTTGATGACACACATCTTCCTGCAATGTATGTTTAAAATACATAAAGTTAAACTGGGACCAAATGTACACCAGAAATCAGTTCCTGCAAGCATTAGCCATGCTTTGTGCACAGTTACTGGTCAGAGATTGAGGGATGTAAAGTGACAACTATTTCTGAGTCGTCAAAAAGCCATAATTGCTCAATAGTGACCTGCACACATTCCTCCTGTAGTGACCTGTTTAATTTTTCTTCCTAATCAGTGGCATTTCCTCATCTGGAGAGTCCAGCTTGTTGTCCCAGCCATAAAGAACTACTTAGGAACAGCCACACCTACCTGATGAGTGACACCTCTGACCCCTTTATTAGATTCAACTCTATTATTCATGTTACATTTTCTTTTCCACCTCCTCTTTTTTCTCTCCAGTGAACACAGAAGCAATGAGCCCTCACTCAGTGCTGTTGGAGGTTTTATATTTAGAGCAGTGCCAATCTCTTTCCTCTTTTTGAATAAACGTTAGATACTGTCTTTTAACCCACATCTTTATTTAAAAATGGAGGCATAAAACAGAACAGGATAAACAAAAGGACAGGTTGATATTTGCTTTCCACACCTAAAAGAACAAGATGCATTTCTGATATCGATTCTGAGTAGCAATTTATCAAAAAGGTGTAGAAGGCACAAAGCACACACTGCATCAAAAATAGAACTTCTAGAGGTGTTGGTTTGGTTTCTAAACCAGAAGTCCACACAGGTTTTAAAATAACAAATGGCTACTGTATTCATTTTGCAGGATTTTCTATTACTTCATAGCTGTATGAATTAAAATATTCATGTCCCAACTTTGTTCCCTGCCAAGCACTGATATTATTTAGTAGTGGATGGGGAGCTGGACTGTATTTGTTCAGTGTGGCAAAGGCTTCTTTGCCTACCGCACTGAAATTATTTTGAGATTTACAGAACATCTATGTAACCATAGAGAAAGCAACTTTCCAGTCAGGCCAGACTATGCTGTGAAGGGAGGCAGTGCTGACTCATGCAGACTGAATTATGGCAAATAAAACTTTGCCAACTGCTGAGCAGACACAAGGGTTTTACTTGCTATCCCTAGCTGCAGTGCAAGCAGGCAGAAATGCTCAAGCACACAGGAATTTCACAAGTGCCAAGTGCTGACAATACCAGAGTAATGGGGTTAAGCAAGGTTATTTGTTGCAATTTTACAATCCTTATGCCACAACTAGTAAATAACATTTTGGTAAGACAGAGTTGCAGGTTCATTTCAGACACATTTTTTTCTCCATGCTCAAATTTTGATGCAAGCCAAGAAGCTACTCTGATCCCAATAGGCTGGGATCCCTACTGCATTAGCTACAATTTTTTTTTTCCCATAAATCTTTCACTTTTAGGAGCTAAAACCCTGTTATTTCATACATACTGTTGGGTTCTGAGGACCAGTACTACTTTTGAGTAGTGTACCTCTTGTGTACCAGTTTTGTGAGGTTCTCTGGAATTACATGTTGCTTTTAAGGGATGAATAACATAAATATTGTGGAAAATTCGAAATAAATCTTCACAGATTTCAGAATGTTTCATGAGTTGCTGCAAAAAGGAAGTTTTTTCAGATTTGTGGATTTCTGAAAAGATGCAGGCATGCTATAAAACAAGTACATACTATGATAAAGATAGGCAAAACAGTGTCAAACAGTAAAGTGAGTTTATGATTAATAACGTAATTAATAAAAACAGGGATTCGTTGAAAGGGCAAAGAGATCACTGTAGTTTTAAGCTGGTTTATGGAAGTCTACACAAAAGCTCTGTGTTGATGGAACACAGAAGTTTGCCCTGACTGTAGCTCTTGCTTGCCTGGTGTAACGCTGAGTGTTCGAGGTGCTGCTGCCCCCATCTGCCTGACATCCTGCTGGACTTTTCCATGAAAAACGGAAGCAAAGGCAAATTCTTCCACCAGCTGCAAGAAATATGATTGTACTGTACCTCAAATCAGTGACAAAGTTGCTGCATTTAGGGGGTTGGATCTAATTTTGCAGTCTTTCCCCCAAAACAGAGTTGACCTCTTAGGTTTTGGGTTTTTTTTTTGTTTGTTTTGGGTTTTTTTTTTTTNTTTTTTTTTTTTTTTTGCGGTTGAAAATTGTTTTTGACGAGAGGTAAGTCTGTCAGAGCATTTTTTTTTTTTTTTTACATTGACATTAAAGTTTAACAGGGTTCAAGCCAGAGCTGAAATCAATGGAGTGTGAAAAGAGATCATACTATCAGCTATTAATGCTTCACTTGAATTTTCATGCAAGGTTTGTTTTGCTTTTATCCTGCTTCTTGCTTTGGAAAGAGAAATCTATAATAATTTGCTGGTCTACTTCACTGATCTACTCTGTGTCTTTCTGAAAATTCATTTGCCAGAGGAATTTTGGTTACATAGTCACTAAAACACTTAAGAACAAATGATTCTAATATTTGTGACCAATAAATCCTCACCTGTTAAAGTCTGTTAACTTTAACCTTCATGCAAAAGGCAAAATTATCCTTTTGTCCTGTGTCAGGAAAAGGGTTTTTACTGCCCAAGAAGATAAATCCATTGGCACTTGGCATTGACAGTCCTTCCAAGAAATACTGTGCTGCGTTGCTGAGGCTGAATTTGATTTTCCTCTTCTGAACTGGGATCATCATGGATTGGATGCCACTGCCCAGATCAATATCTTGGCACTTAGTGAGCATATTAACTGGAAGGACAACTGCAAGCATGGCAGTTTCAACCTGCAGGAAAGACAAAGAGTACAAGGGTTGTGTTCCCTGTTTCTGCCATGCTGAGGTCCTCAGTCCTACCTGAGTAGTGCTTACTAGACTGACAGGATTTAAAATCAGATGAAAAATAAACTTTAATAGAGAGACACAACAAAGGAAAGAAGCCCTGTCATTATTTTAAAGATGTTAAAGGTTCCTGGTAAAACTCCCATCTTTGCTTGGCTTGATGAAGCCTTCATTAGTGCTGGAGTGGTAAATGAGAAACATGGATCTTATGGGCATTATTCCAGGTAAATCCACATCTGCAAACTTTGCTTTGCCCAGGTCACAATGGAACAACTCAATACACCTGTGCATCCCCAGACTATTCTTGACTTTATTCTTCAGTCAGAGAAACTACCCAGGGAAAGTCCATATCAATTCCACAGCAATAAGGCAGTTTTGAATCATAGCCTGCAATAAGTCAATTTAAACACACATCCATGGACAGGTTTAATTTCAGCATTTGCATAAGTACTTTATTTATCCACCAGACCCCGACCATTTTAGAGTGTAGAAAATAAATAATGCTGCAAGGTGAATTGTGCTTCCTGAATTGTTAAAGTTTTTATTATCATCCTTATTCACTAAGTAGCCTTGGGTTTTATTTAATAATCATTCAGAAGCAGTGCTGAATAAAAATATATTTTAGCTGATCTTGGGTTTTTATGTTATTCTTACTGTAACTGGTGCTTCACAAATGCAGCTTTTTCTTCACAAGATTCCTGAGGCAAGTTAATATTAGCATCTTCATCTTACAGATGAAGAACAGAAAGGTGGAGTAATTTGAGCAAGAACATTTCAGACATTTGCTATTCTTGGATACTTCTCTTGGGACACAAAAGCTTACTTGAAGGACTTGCTCTGCCTGGTTTCATGTTTTCATTTGGAGTGGGATGCACTTTCTTTCCACAGAGCAAACCACACACAGCTCCAGTCAGCACGGCAGAAATCAAAGGCTGGTACAAGCTACAGTGCAACTCCTTTCCAAACAAACCAATTTGTCATCAGTTGTCACATTCCCACCTTCCTTCTGTTCCCAGCCATATGTTCCCCTCCCCTTCCCCCAGCACTGCCACCTGCCTAGCTCCTTCTGTGAGCTCAGCCTGAGGAAAGGGAAAAAAAATGTGTGATTACTTTTTGACAACGAGCTACAGAATGAGTTTCGCATTTACAATAATAATAGAATCAGAAAGGCTTGTCTTGGAAAGGACCTTAAAGATCATCTAATTCCATGGGCAGGGACACCTTCCACTAGTCAGGTTGCTCAGAACTGCCTCCAACCTGGCCTTAAAAAGCGTATTTATTTGTTTTTAGTGTATGTTACTACTAATTCTAAAATAGATAGTTTATTTGTGTAGCTAGGCATTAGCAATTACATTTCAATTTACTATTCATTTACATAATACGTAGCAATCACAAAAGTTTATAAATATGCATTAGTAATTATCGCCAAATAACTTACATATAATATATATATATTAATAATATATATATTATATATATATATATATAATTTACGCATATTAAAATATCATATAATGATACATTATTTATAAATTATATTTTATAATACCGGAACTCCATACGTTTTCTATGGTACTGTGGAGGAGGGGGAGCACCCACCCAGCACAGCAGCCCCTACACTGAGAGGCTGACGGCTAGTTACATTTTTAGGCATCAGTGAGTCACCAAAAAACGCCTTTTACGTTTTTTCACCGTCCCCTTCTCGCGCTCCATCCCTCCGTCCCGCCCACCGCGGGCGGGGCGCGCCGGGGTCGCGGCGCGTGCGCGGCGGGACGCGCGGCGGGATCGCGGCGATTCCCGGAGCGATTCCCGGAGCGATTCCCGGAGCGATTCCCGGAGCAATTCCCGGGGGCCATTCCCGGCAGCGATGTTCCGCCGGCCCCCGCGCAACTTCCGCGGCCGGCGGCGCGCAGCCTCCAGCGGCAGCAGCGAGGGCGAGCCCGAGCCGCGGGCGGAGCCGGCCGCAGCCCCGTCCCCGGACTCCGGCGCCAGCTCGCCCTCGGAGCGGGGAGCGGAGCCCGCGGCGGGCGGGGCCGGTCCCGGCGCGGAGGGGCCGCTGCCCGCCGGGGAGCCGGCCCGCAGAGCCGGGGCGGGCGCGGGCCCGGGGCAGCGCCGGGCCGGGCAGGAGCTGCTGAGCTTCGGCGGCGAGGAGCGGGAAGGTGAGGAGGGTCCTGTGTGTGTGTGTGTGTGTGTGTGTGTGTGTGTGTGTGTGTGTGTGTGTGTGTGTGTGTGTCTCCCGGGGCTCTGCCTTGGCTGCCCCCTCAGCGAGCCCCTGCTGCCTCTCGTGTCAGGGGAAGGGCTCCTGGGAGCGTTCGCACCATGAACCCGCGCTAAAGGACGGGCTAGGCCTGGTTAGTCTGCTGAAGACAGCGGGTCTTGTCAGTCCATCTGGATATCTCGAACGCGGGTGCCAAGAGAATGGTGCTGGACTCACTTCAGTGATGCCCAGCAATAGGATGAGGAGCAATGGCCATAAACTAAAACACAGTAAGTTCCACCTCAACATGAGGAAGACCTTATTTACATCAAGGGTGGCAGAGCACTGGAACAGCTGCCGAGGGAGGGCCGGCAGCCTCCCTCTCTGGAGACATTCCGAACCCTCCTGGACACATTCCTGTCTCCCCTGTTCCAGCTGACCCTGCCCTGGCACGGGGTTTTGCCAAGGTGCTCTCCAGAGGTCTCTTTCAACCCTAACAATTCCGTGATTCTGTGAAAAGTACTTTGATAATTACTTATGTCCACATTGTTTCAGCTGGAAAGCATCTGGAATCTTACAACTGGAGAAAGCCAGTACTGTGTAGTTCCATGATGAGCAAGATTAAATAATGAAACTTAAGTGTTTGATTGACACTTCTGGGCTGTTACTGTTGTGGTTGATGAGAAGACAGCCACCTTGGTGGGGACAAGCTGCAGAGAGACCCTGCATTTCAGCAGTGCAGTGATGCTGTGTACAGGAGGCTGACCTGGAGTTTTTACCAGCTGGTCGATCATGAGTGATGAAGCTGCTGTAATATTTAGAATTAATCCAGCCAGAACTGAAAGACTGAACATAGCCCTTACTGCTGTGGTCTTGACATGTTGGTGTTTGGTCATAGGTTGGACTTGATCTCAGAGGTCCTTTCCAACCTAATTGATTCTGTGATTCAGAACTTAGGCTGTGCACACACATAGAGTTTACATGCACTTTTGTATGCAGTACATACATATATATGTGTGTATATTGTTGGTTTTATTAATGTTACTCAGAATCACTTTGTTTTATCTGGTAGGTGAAGAGTTTTTTAAAGTTAAAAAGCCATCCTTCAACGAAGTAACCTTTAGAATTAAAAAGAAGGAAAGCTTACTGCCTGCACAGACAGAAGCTGAAGAAAGCAAAAGTAAGTACTTCTTTTAGTTAAGTATTTTATGAAATATGTGAAGAGTGATGTAAAAATACTGCTGTTAGATGTTTTTTGCTTGTTAATTGAATCCAGAATTATATTTACAATGTTGGTTTACAGGTTTATAATTGTAATGTATTTGTGCTGAAATCATTTTCAGTTTGACCTTGGTAAAAGATTATCAGAACTTGGAGGCTGTTCTTGAGAAAACCTGATTATGCAGAACCATGTACTACATCAAAGTTAGCAAAGTTTTGCTAAGTTTGTACCTCAGCATCATATGTTTCAAACTATGGGCCAGGTGTCCACTGCTTATTGCTGTCAGATTGCAGTTTATCTGAGAATTGGCATTGAGGGAAAATGTGAGCTTAGTAGCATTTTGTCTGATGAAACTTAATGCAAACATTATTAAATTCTGTGCTCTTACAGCATTTAAATGTTTTAATTGAATGCAGTCAAAAGCATTGATTATTCTGATAGTATCCCTATTTTCATTTAAATACAGTCAATTGCCCAGAGAGGCTTTGGACTCCCCATCCCTGGAAATTTTCAAGGCCAGGTTGGGTGAGGCTGTGAGCACCTAGGCTAGTGGAAGATGTCCCTGCCCATGGCAGGCTAATTGGAACTAGATCTTTAAGGTGCCTTCCAACCCAAACCATTCTGTGGTAAGTTTCCTATTGGAATATTTGGAGTTTGTGTGTTTTAGAAAGAAATTAATCTAAAAGTTCTCTTTATGTATTCCCCTTTTGACACCTCTGTCAATTCACAGATAAACTGTATTTGCTACTGTTAGATAAAAGTAAATTAGATTGAGATTGGGCAAGAATTCCCTTTGAGGTTGTGATTCAGCTGAGATAGTAAATTTTCTTAGCAACTTCTTATAAAAGTGTATCATATTCTTATAGAAGGTGGTACATTCTATTGTAATCTTATGATTTACTGAAACTGTAGTGGCAGATGAAGATAAATCAATACTTTTAAAGGATTTGATAATAACTGGAGACAAGATAGATATAAATGTTTATAGTTTAGGAGCGCCCTTATTGTTAATACTTTTTAAAAAGTGCTTTCTAAATGCAGTTTTTCAAGTCAAGAATCCAAATATGCTGTGAATAATCAGAATATTATTAGTTGTTATCTGAGAGCTGATCTCATTGCTTTTGTACATGTAAATACACTCTGTGTCTCAGAAGGACTTATAGTCTTTCTATGGGAAGCATCACCAAAGATGCTTTTATTCAATTCAAGAATTGTCTTGTAAATTACTGTCTTGGAATGTTACAATTTGACATGTTTTGATGAGAACAGCTGGAATTAGACAAGTGACTGGTCTTTGCTGCAGCAAGGTGTAAATAATTTCTGGTAACCAGTTATGGCACATCATATTCCAGCAGCTGAAATAATGGATCATACTTTTTTTCCCCTATAATGAAGAAATCTGTCAGTTGGAGTCTGGAGTTGGCAACACCAAAGATACTCATGAACAGGATGAGGACAATGAGGATGAAACTTATTCTTCACTGAATGAGGATTACAACAGCTCAGACTCTGAAAATGAATCCAGCTCTCCACAGAGGAAGAAGGATTTACCACCAGGTTAGTTCCCTGGCTTTTTTAAAGCTATTTTAGATAATTTTGTGTTTAAAGTACATGACAAGTTAGGTAAGACGAGTTCCATAGCTAAGGTATGGGTATCTGTTTATCCTAAGTCAGGGCTACCCTTTTGTAAGAATAGTGGTTCCCCCTCATTTTTAGTTGCAAACATTTGTTGTCTTTCTGTGCTAATTTTGGGAATGGTGCAGAAATTACAAGCCCTGGTTATAGAAGAAAGGCAGCAGAAATTGCTCTTTAGTGATGCGCAGTTCCCTTCATGAGGTGAAAATAAAACCTCACTTTGAGGCTGAGAGCCACTTTTTCATCTCCTTATATTCTACGTGGCAACCATTGTAGAAAACCATCTTGTGTTCTGTATCCATAGTACAGTGAGGCTGAACAGTGGGGATGATTTGCATTAGATATAGAGTGTTGCTTTTAGTCTTTTCCTTAGGTTTTCTCTTTCTTTGATGCAGGCAATATCCCCAGTGCAGCTCATGTTGAGGCTGCTCGGAGGAAGCGTCACTTAGCCAGGACAGAGGCTGATTATCTTGCCCTGGATGTTTCAAACAGTTCTCAGGTCCCTCAGAGAAGAGGAAGCAGTGATTTGGAGAGTGAAGATGAGTCTGAAACAAAGCATCTCGATTTTGCTCCTAAAATGAGAACTCCTAGGCAGAGGATGACTGAAGACATGGGTGAGTTTGTGGTGTTTCTCCCTGAGGTTTTGTTTTAGTCCCTGGAGCATGTGATACTTGTCCAGTAAGGAGTGAGGCTTTGCTCCTCAGGGCTCTTGGAAAAAGGCTGTACAGTTGGTGCTTGAGGTGCTTTTATGGGTCATAAAACTGGTTAAGGTCTCACTTGTGGTGGTGCAGGATACTTTGAGAAATGTTCGCAAAATTATTTTTGGCCTTGTTGACTGGAGAAAAAAAAAAGGCCTTGTAAAAGGCACATTTACAGTGAATAAAGTTACTGTAAGTCTTGCCTCCTGCTTCTGGTCTGGTCTTCTAAGTGATCTTCCTGCACTGACATTATAAATTCAAAAAATGAAAAACAAACAAACCAGCAGAAATAAACAACCTACTACATGCAAAACATAACTGGCTTTTCCATTGTTTTTATTCCCTTGAAGCTGCTTATAATGTTGTTTATGAAGCACAGGTTTACTTTAGTATTTGAATAAGGGCTATAAGGAATGCATAACTATGAGCAGAATCTGCCATTCAAATTAATGCTAATGAGATGTTTTTGTATCTGTAGTTGAGTGTATGTTCTGGACTACTCAAGGGTTTGTTGGGTGTAATGTCATAGTCTATACTTATACTCTTGTTTACATGTATCATGCATGTAAACTTTGCTTTGAGACATAAAACCAAGATGTTTGTGTGCCTCTTACTGCAGTAGTAGTTGTTTGAGAAACAGTTGGGGAAATTAATGTTAGTGTGGATCCTACAAATCCCAGTAGCCTTTTCCAAGATTTCCTTGCCTTTCAGTTTTGCAGTCCTCCATCTGCAAGTTTTTCATCTGCTGTTTTTTGTTTGTATCACTTCTCAGTATTGGCTGGGAGACCCATTGTTGCTTTAGATGGAGGGGAAAAAATAAAGGGTGTAGTTAGATCTAATAATGGTTGTTTTAACTTCCAGTGTCTCTGGGTGATGCATCAAGTGATGATGAAGCCAAGTGGGAAGAACAGCAAATAAAGAAAGCTGTTAAACTCTCTCAGGTGACATATGCTTTCCTAACCATTGTAAGTTACTTTATGCTTATAAGCAAGACAGCTTGTTTGGAGTACTGTTGTATCTCTGTTCTACCCTCTCATTAGGGAAGATTTTAGGAGGTTATTCCTTGATTCTTCAGGGAAAGATGATTAGAAATATGGGAAGATGATAACAAAAATCTGTAATCTCTGGCTGTTGAGGAGTGTGATGATGTCAGCCCCAAAGGCAGGTCCTGTTGTTATAAGAAATCACAAGGTGCTGAACTCTGATTTTTTTGCTGCCATGCAAGGGATCTTGAAAGGAAGAGTATGCAAATGATACAAATGTTGCAAAGTTGCAAAACAAAAATTATTCTTTAATTTTGCTAAATTTCTGTTGAGTGGCAATCTGAGAGCTCTCTTCACAGTTCAGCAGAATGCTGTCTTTTCCTCAGTAAGTAATTGGTAAAAATAAGCTATATTCTGATAAGTGCTGGACATTTTGGTTCTGGCTTGGATCACTTACTCTGGGTCAGACTTAGGAGTATCTGAATAACCAGCTCTTTATTGAAGTTGGAATTGACAGTTGTAGAATTTTTTCCAATTTGGGTAGTAGAGGAAAAAGAGAAAGTTACATCTTTCTGAGACTTGTGTTCAAATCCAGTATGATGTTAGGTCCTCATATTCCACTGCTTATGGAAAAGTTAATTCTACTCTTCAGGAAACAGCAGCAATTTATAGCTGTAGACCTTGTTATTTATGGATTTAATGTTTGAATTGATTGGGTTTTGTCTAGATTTTTTTGTGATTGAAATATGTATTTTTGTATCAGATGTCTAGTATTCAGGTGATGTTTTGTTGATCTGTAGAGTTGCAAAGAGAGAAACTGTGTAAATGGTGTATTAAAAATTGACAATTCTTGTAGGAAATTTGTGATGATGCTTCTGTGCATAAATACCAACCAACCAAACCCAAGTTTGATACCTCTGTTTCTCTACCACCTGTGAATTTGGAAATTGTGAAGAAGAGATTGACTGAAAGGTAACACCTTAACTATGAGTTGTCTGAGTTTTTGTCACAGAATGAGACAACAGCTCTGAAGTGTTACTGTTTTTTCCAGAGTGTTGAGTTTTTTTTTGGGTTGTTTTCAAGTGTAATGATGTCTAATGGAGTACTACAGGTTTTTTGCTTTATGTGGCAATGCTTTATTTCAGGGGAGCATTTGGACTTTTTAGGAATGTGTCTGTCAACTTGAACTCTAGAAAGTAAATTCACTTATTTGGCAGCAGCTTTTTATGGTTACTGGCAGTTCTTGATGTTACGTTTACCCAGAAAGCAGAACTTCACTGGGGGCAGGTGGAGCTGGCACTCTCAATCCAATCATATTTATAAGGCTTTCCTGTTTCATCTTCCCCAACACAATCCTCCAATGGTAGTTCTTATACCAGCTGTAAAAATAGCCCAGTATTTCCTAAAGCAACCTAAGTTTTCTACAGCCTGTTCAGAACGTGCCTGGATCTTTTTCTTTAGTTGTGTGCCAGGCTGTGACTTCTCTTGAGAGCTCAGCTGCTGTGTGTGGGCAGCTGAAGTGTCCTGGGTTGGACATGGGAACCTCCTAGAGGGTGTGTGGGAAGGACAGCTGGGGTCAGGCATCTCAAGGTAAGCCATCCTCTGTCATCCCTCCCGGCACTGGGAAGCAGCTGTTCAGATAAGTTTAGACAAGTAACTTAATACAAGTGGAACATAAATTGTGCTGTGAACTTTCACCAGGCTCTCTCAGTGTAATCTTTGCTTTGTACAGACAATCCCTGCCACGTTTATTTAGAGAAGTGAAACAAAGTTGGACTAAATATTTTTGTGGAATTGTATGCTTTCTTAGCTTTAGTCACCTGAAGGGAATTGAGTTAACTGAGCAGGAATTTATGAATAGAATCAAATAAGAAAACAGAAGAATTCAGTGTCAAGAGTGGGAAACTTGTCTGGAAAACAGCAAGAAGGGGAGGGGGAACCAGTTTGGTGTACAAACAAAAGAAAACCTGTTTTGTTTGTAGATGTTTTAAATATATTAAGTGCTGAAATAGATTAATATTTTTTCTTTTTAATTTGTAGCACAGTAGAACACAATAGCTTAATTCAGCTATTTTCTTTGGGAATTGTTCAGTTCAGGGAGATGAGCTAAATTGTGGTCTGTGCCTTGATTCTGTTCTAGACCTGCTCAAACTGAGTAAACACATAGGGATATACAAGGAGGGAAGGGGTAAAAAAAGAGAGGGAGCAGAGCTGTAATATATGTAAATGTTTGTGTGCTACCTGTCTAGTAGAGACAGCTGTAGACATATATATTGTATGTTTATCACACAATAATAAGAATTGTCAGTTGGTTTGTATTTAATAGTGAGCACATTCTGAATGCTTACAGGTACTTCTGTCCATGCAACTTATTAACTGGTATGGACATGCTGCTGTGAGCTGTAGTTCTTACCAGATTACATTGGGTAGAATCTATTTAATAATGGGGTACTGTGTAATTTTGGCTTTTATGTTTTTGGAAAGTGTGGTGTATTGAGGAGTTCAGGTAAAATATCTGTGGTGCCACTTAAATGACATTTGGGTTGCCAAAGCATGATGTTTGTGCTTCTGTAAATGTTGGCATGGGTAAATCTTTCAGTGCTGCTCAGGTCAAATGCAAGTGCTATTATTAGCACAGGCAAAGATTTTGTATGTGATTATAATGGGAAAAATGTTTTGGAATGCATCAGCTGTTAAGTTGGCTATAGTTCTGATTGTCTGGCTTTCTTTCTTTTAGGATAACATCCTTACAGGATGTGCACCGTGCCCACCAGAGAGAGTATGAAAAATATATGGAGGATATTGAGAGCTCAAAGATGTCTGTCCAGGAGTTGGAGAAGTCTTCAGATGCAGCTCTGAATTACAAATTCTACAGGACCATGAAAACATATGTAGAAAACTTGATAAACTGTTTGAATGAAAAGGTATGTATATTTTCCAATTTTTTAAAAGATGATAAAGGTGTATTCTGTCAGTGAAAAATGAGAGATACCACCCAGTTAAAAATCAGTTCTATCAGAATCGTATTTAATTTTAATTTAGTGTCCCTGTGCAGTTTTGAATTTCTTCAGGTAACTCTAAAGAGAAGAAATGTTACTTAGTGAATACATTTTCTTCAATAGCTAGTGCCTCAAAAGCAAGCTGCAATAAAACAAGGGACACCAGTGGTGAGCCCTTTTGTATGAAGTCTTAGTCCTTGATATGTAACATGTTTGTGTTTCCAGCCTGAAGAACTCCCATGACCAGGAACTTGTCAACCTATGACACTTCTGTTCTAATTTTACAGCTGTACAAAAAAACCATGGAAATTAATTTTTGCTCATTCTTGTGAGATTTAAATCAATCAAAAGCCTGATTAGTGTTTGCTGTATTGCAGCTGAAGGACATAAATGAACTGGAATGGGCTGTGCATGCCCTTCTTCAGCAACGAGCCGTGAGAGTATCGAAGCGAAGGCAAGAGGAGCTGAAAAATGAATCTGCTTATATTCAGCATGTGACAAGTCAGTACAAAGTTCAAATTTTCAGTGAGAAAATAACTTGTCTTTGAACAGAAATACAGTTCATTTTTGGGTTAAGATTTTAATTTTCACTTTTGATCTCCTTTCCCCTTCCCATTGTCAGTAGGTGTGTTCTACTGCACCTAATTTGAAATTCTTAGCTGAGTAATGCTTATAATACTGTTTTTCTCTGGTTTAATTTCTCTGAATATGTCATGACCAAGTACCTTGTCAATTTTTAACTGTTCATTTTCCCATCAATATTTAAAAAGAAAAATGGGAGTCAGTTTTCCAGTAGGTCTCAAGTTGCAGAAAGCTTGCTTATTATTGAATTCTGTGAATATCTGAAAAAGCTGAGTGTGTAATTTGCAATATCACACTTACCTGAGGGTGTCTGTAAGGCTATGTGTGTGCCCGGATTGGAGATTTCAAACCAGGAGATGACACCCATGTTACAGAGCATGAAGAGAGAAGCTACACTGTGTAAGGGTTTTATCTAAAAGAAAGCTGTGTTTCAGTCACTGTATGAAAAATAAGTACAGTTTTCTCAGCTTGTATTTTCTTTATTCACCAAGGTATTGTTTCTGTGCTGTGTGAATTTCTAGCTGCTGCTATTTAAAAAGCCCAAACAAACCAGATCTCCAAAACCAAACCCTTTAAAACCTGTTCAGGCAAAGCTGAGAGCAATATGCTTGGAGCTGCTGGGAACAGATGGAGGGCAGATGCACTGGATCCTGGTAAATACTAAATCATATGGGTTCAGTCTTCTCATTTGAGGAGATAAACTACTGATGAGAGAAAATAACAGCCTGGATGGTTTTGAAAAATGGGGTGGCAAACTGACAACAGGTAAGGAGAAAAGGGTAATGCTGTAGCGGGAGTTGCTATTAAATTATTTTACCTCCAGCTTATTACAAATGAGTCTGCACTTACATGTTTAGCAGCACATAGCATTATTTTTTATGTTCCTAATTATATTTAATATAGTCAAAAGGCTGTTTTTTCTTACATGTAGTAGTACACCCTTTCTCTTTGGCATGTTTTGTGCATCAGCCAGTCATTAGTGCTACAAGGAATTTACTCTGACTTACTCTGGATACTGTAAGAGTTTTGAATAGGTTTGTTCTTTTGTTGGCTATTTCCAAATTAAAAAAAACAAAACAACAAACCCTAACAAAGCAATAGAAGGAGATTCTTTGTTTCCTGTTTGAAAATAAAACAGGAACTTTAAAAACATACCACTTTATTTTTGGCTGTTTCTGTCTTATAGGTGGGAATGACAAACCAATGAAAAGCAAATTGGAAGGTGATGAGAAGACACAGATTCTGAAAATGTGTGAGCATCGAAGGTAACTCTTACACAGAGGTGCACTTAACTCTGATAAATGTGTTGTGCACTGACTTTCTGTTATTCCTGCAGTTATGAATGTAAACCTGTAGGATTACTAAATTAGATTACACTAAGGATATTTCAGTATTTGTTTTCCAAAACTTGAAGGACATGGAAGCCATCTATATGTTAATATCATTCTCTTCATATTGATTTGAACGTGAATGCTAATAGAGCTGGATATTTTAAATTTAAAAGTCTTAAGTGAGACAAAACTATAAGGGGAGCTTTTTTCTTCCTATTTTAATTAATATTATTAACTTCTACAGAAATCTATTTCTGTATTACTGTAGAAATAGCAAAATTGGGTAGAAATGTTTCTGCTGGAGAGGCAGTGGTGAGTGAAGCAAATCAACCTCTAGCTCCATGTCTGCTATCAGTGTAGGTCAGACAAATGCTACATTTTGGATGTTACAGTGTTCAGAGATTGGTATCAAGTTTTTTATATAATTGGGAGCTTTGAAAGTTTTATAGTTGCAGTGGTACCTCAAGTCTTAAAAGTAGCGTTGCACTACAACACGAAATAACTCACGCACTCGCTCCAAGATGCAAAAGAAGAAAAGGAAGTAACTTTTATTTCTGACCTTGCAATATACAGAATTCCAAAAGTGACAGTGGATTGGAGGATGAAGTTGCCACCTTTCCAACCATACTGGCCAAACCAACAGTCCATCAAGTCTCTCCTCCCACAAAGAAGAATGCAAAACAATCATTATTTACATGAACAGTCTATGGGAACTCCAGTAGAAATATGTAAACATCAGAAGGCATAGAAAACTTTTAAAAGAACTTTAAAACTTTTAAAAGAACAGGGCGACAAGCAAGTACCTTGAAATTTTACTGGAGGAAAAGTGGTGTAATAATAAGAACTTCCTCTCAAAGCAGTTAACTTTTAATGCTAATTGATGTGAATAACTGTTTAAAAGTATTTATGCAACATCACTTCCATATCATGTATAATTTTCCTGTGGTAGAAATTCAAGCCATTGATTTTGCAGCCTGTTTCTCTTGATGCCCCAGCAATAGCTTTTAGAACCCCACTGCCACATGAGTGCTATCACCTTTTTCCTGTAGGTTGTTGAACAAAATCCAGGACTGACCGGACAGTCTTGAGAGCTCAGTAGACTCACACTAAACTGTCAGACAGGATCCAATTCAACACCAGATGCTCAGTGTTGCAGGTGGGATGAGTTGGTAGCCTCATCAGTAGTAATGAGGTGAAGGGAAGGTTATTGCATGGCTCATCAGAGATGTTGCTCTAAGCTCTTGGATGTCAGTTGCCAAATCCCCTCCCTTTTCCACCGTTGGGGAGTTCTTTTGGTTCTGTAGTCACTGTTGCTCCCCCATTGCTTCTCCTTAGGCTGTTGTTCTGACAACTTGTTTGAAGTACATTTTTTGAAGTTGAATTATTTTCTTTAAGCTTTCTCCTGCACACACAGGAGAGGATAACTCATCTGAGCTCATTCCAAAATGCAGGACTTGCAGGCGGCAGGCGCGGGAGCAGTCAGGAGAAGGAGATCACCATGAGGGCTTGTCGAGTGATGAGGAGTTGACTCCCACAGAGGTGGACGAGTTTCAGAAGAACAAAGGTTGGTACAGTCCTAATGTGATGTCCTAGAACAAGATCTCTTGTTGATATTTCTTTTACTATTTTTTTAAGGAAAAGTAGAGGACTGCTTCAATTGAGTTCCGTATTTTTATTTGCACACTGTAGAAACAAATGCACTCAAGCAGTTCTGACTAATGACTTGGGAAGAATGAATGAATGGTTGTAGATTACTTGTGGTGGCAGCACTATACATGGCTTTTTAACCTAGAGGTTAGCTCTGACAGATTATGCCAAAGCTGATCTGGTGGTACTCAGTGCAGTGCTGCAGCATGTTTTGTACAGTCGTTTATTTCCTCAAGCTGGAGTGTGAATTAAAGATTGGTTACAGTGTTTTAATTCTCTCGAGTGAATGGATTAAGAGGAGGAGGGAAAGTTATAATAGCTTTTCTTATAACAGCAGAAGGGTTTTCATGCCTGACATTCTATCATTCTATCATTCTGGAACTAAGTTTGAAACATAGTGGTTATATAAATCTGTGAAATAGATAATGAAGAAACTTGCCTTTCCTTGGTCTTCTGACACCATTTTTTTCTAAAACTGGGTTTTTATGGGAGCTGTTTCTAAACCATTTCAGTGTCAGGTGTGTCAAAGATAAATAACAAATGCAATTCTCATTAAAATATCTCCTATAGATGCATAAACTCTTCAGCTTATGCCTCAATAAGTTCTGTGATTGTTTCTTTTTATTCCCAATAAATATTATCCATAGATAACGTTTTAGAGGATAGTAGGAAAATCTTTGAAGATGTACATGCAGATTTTTGTGACATCAGAAAAATCCTGTTGAAATTCCAGGAATGGAAAGAGAAGTTTCCTGACTCTTACTGTGATGCTTACATCAGTTTCTGCCTGCCTAAGCTATTAAATCCATTGATCAGAGTTCAGTTAATAAGTTGGAATCCTCTTGAGGTGGGTGCATCAGCTGACATTTTTGTTAAAAATTTTATGTGTGTGTGTATGATGTATTAATATGAAGAATGATTTTTTTTCTATAACTAGAACAGTGCATTAGAAATTAAGGAAGCTGCTGTGTTTGTCTCAAAACCTGAAGTATGTTGTGGAATCTTAACTTCCCCAATTTCTTTTACCTCCAACCCCTTTTGCCATATCTCCTGTAAAAACAGTTCTTCTCCTGGGTTCTTTGAAAACACTTGAATAATACCACCCATTAAATTGTAGCTTTAAAACTAGTTTTTCTGTTTTGGCCCATTCAGTGATGAGGGTGGATCTGAAATTAAGTGGGAATTTGGGTGTTACTGGATAGAGCTTTTCTCTTAATGCTGACTAGCTGAACAACTAACAGGAATCATCTTTCAGCAGAATTTTACAGAGTTGGAAGAGATGCCCTGGTTCAGAGCTATAGAAGAATTCAGTGATGCAGAAAACATATCTGAATCAAAAAGACATGATAATCATGATGAAGAAGTTTTGCCTAGAGTGATTGAAAAAACCATTCTTCCCAAAATTACAGGTATGGTAAGATTGTATTGAAAATGTTCACCGCAGCTACGCAATGAAACCTTAAATAAAAAATGATAATATCAAATAATGTTGGTGATATCACAGTGCTCCAAGATGTAATGATTGTGTAGTTCCACAGAGTGAGGTTGAAGTGGCCTCTTCAAAATTATTGTGAGAGGCTGAGCTTTTTAGTTCTGTTACATTGTAATGGCTTGAAACTAGGGCAGATAAGTAACTTGCATATTATGAATGAAATCAATTCCTGTTTTTTTCAGCATTTGTGAAGAGTGTGTGGGATCCTTTATCTACTTCACAGACAAAGAACCTTGTACAGCTTTGCAACAACATCTTTGGCAAACAAATCCTTTCCAAAAATGAGTCCAACCGAGCAAGAGAGGTAAAAGCTGTGATACCAAGAAAGGAGAACTTCACCCACTGTGTACTTTTGTGTGTGCTCCTGTGGGCACTGAGAACATTCTCCTAAAGTTGTTTGGTTCTGATTACTTTTTTTTGTTACTCTATATTAAGATGTTTTAACAGTTAAACTTCCAGCTCTCTTGATTTTCTCCTTGTTGAAGATGATGAGGCAGAAATTAGCTACTGTTTGTAGAAAAATTCTGCCTGTATCTATCCAAAATCTGTTTGTAGATCTAATCTTCCTTCACTGCAATAACAATGATATGCATTTAATTATCTTTCCAATTTTGAAGCAGTATATTGATTTAAAATCCAGGCTTCAGAACGTGGTGATAAGGAACTCTTATCTAATTGGATATTATTCCACATTATTCCACAATATGGAAATTGTGCTTAGCTTTCCAAGCTCAAGCTTTACTGTTCTAATGCAGAGAGCATTTATCTGTGAAATTGAGATGTTTAGCAGAGGCCCAAGAGCCTATAAAGCAGCAGAGCCAAGAACTTTCGGCATGTCTGAGAATTTTTTTTTATGGGGAGTCCTTCAAATTTTTTTGACTTTTTGCAATAAGACCTAAGAGAGGTCTTCTCCCATAAACATAACAAAGGAAATTGCTACACTATAGCACCACTTAACTTTATATGCTAGCAAGGCTTCAGTGGTGCATCCCTTAAGCTTTTATTTATAAAGTAGACCTAGAATTTTAAAACTTGAGAATCCCCAAAAGTTGGTGAGGAGGAAAACTATGTAATCCTAGCAATCCTTTAATAATTACTTTTATATACACGGTCATTCAAGGAAGCCCTTTTTAGCCTGATTCTGGGTTTATTCTGATGTAAAGCAGGATGTTTGTCTAGTGAAAATGTGGTGGATTAAGTGGTGAAATGGGATGGATATTTGGGCCCTGAGTATGAAAATAAATATTTTAAAGAAAATGTTTATGCCTTCCAAAGTTTGCTATTTTGAAACCATGGCTTAAAGTCAAATTATACAACTGATCTTAGCAAGAACTTAAATAAATAAGCTTAAAAATAAATGTAGGTGGCAGTCTATGGCACCTGAAAACACATTGCTCAAAAATGCATACTATCCTAGCTATGGTGACTATTTACATAGAATTTAACATATTTTAATGGAGTGTATAACTTAGTTTGGTTTTAATCTGTACAGTTTTTCTCCTGTAATAATATGCAAATAAAAGGCCTCACCTAGGGATATAGCAAAAACCCTCTAGGCTAAGCCTATAGATAATTACAGCTGTGATTTGTCTTCTGTTCCTATTTTTTATTCAGGGTTTCAATGTGTGTTATATACAAATGGCAGCTGCACTTAGCTCTAAGATATCAGACCTCTGGATGAGGTAGATAACCTTTGAGGTTGTTACAGATGGAATATGAAGTCTTCCAATGACACATTAATAATTCTTTTTTAATAGGATTTGATGAACACTGTTGTCCTAAGAATGAAGAAATCTGTAGAGGAAGATGTCTTTATTCCTCTGTATCCTAAAAGGTAAGCTAACCCTGTGACTCTCTTCAGTTAGTATTTTTTTCAGTTTCTCTACCTTTCTCCCCTACAGATGTAGATGAAATAGTGTAGACATCAATGTCTGTTTATCTTTTTTTAAATGCAACAAAAAATAATCTTTATTTTAACTTTTTCTTCCCATGACCAGCACTGTGGAAGACAAGTCCTCACTACGTTCAAAATTTCAAGAAAGACGGTTTTGGTCAGCTGTTAAGGTAGAGAAGATAGGGCTGGTTTTGTTCTGTTTGTCCTCTCTGAAATTCATTTCACTGGAAACATCCCAGACAGTATTTCAGTTTTCCTGCTATTCATGTTGGCTATCCTCCTCCTTGACTCGGAGCAGGTTAATTTTCAGGTAACTTAACTTCAAGGTATTTTACCTTCACAAAGACAGCCTTACACCATGCTCAAAAATTACAGTTGTAATAATTTATAGTGATAAGAGTGTCTTCTATGAAACTTGTAACAGTTTTAGCACACTTACAGTCAACAGCTCTACAGATTCTTTGTCTCTTCATTACTGCAGCTGCTCTCCAATGTTGTTCTTTGGGATGGGATTGTCCAGGATGACAAGGTCCGTGATTTGGGACTGAGCAAGTTGCTGAATCGTTACCTTCTCCTGAACATCCTAAACACACCACTAGGGCCGGATAATATCGAAAAGTGTAGTAAGGTAAAAGATAATGTTCATTGGAAGAGGGTGTATGCTAAAAGCCTTTTGTTTTCCATTAAGAGGGTCAAAACTGAAGATGGAATATTTAAAGAAAAGAAAATTTAAACATTTAAAATTTTATTTTAATATTTTCTTTTAAAATCCTTGCTGCATAAGAGCATTTTAGAGCAAATACTTGTCTGTATGTTCTTAAGTGTGACTACTTGGAGAGATAATCAGTGTTGATTTGAAGGAAAAAGCACTAATAATGACTGAACCTGTGAGAAGGTTCCTGTCAGAAATGATGTGACTTAGTTCTGTTGAAATGCTTGCTAAACTTTTTCCAAATACTGTCTAAACAGGTGGTTGCATGCCTCCCAGAAAGATGGTTTCAAGATCTCAGGGGTGGATCAACTCTTCCTGAATTACTGAACTTCAGCCAGCACTTGCTGCAATGTGCCCGTGCACTACACAAGGACAACCACAGGTAATGGATGAGGCTGTCCTGAGATTCAAGTGCTTCCCCAAATACTTTCTGTTAAATTTTTTTTTTAATTCCTTTAATACCATATATTTGACACTTTAAACTATGCTCTTGTCATGTATATATATATATCAAAAGGAAAAGATAGAGTCTAATGTGAAGGAGCACTTGAGCAGTCCTCGTTTACTGTGAGAGTTTGAAGTGGTTGATGTTGGGTGCTGTTAATGATCAGAGTAGCCAAGGTCAGGAAACAAAAATTATAGTTTAGAAAGGTCAATAAAACTGCTGCTATATTTTTTATTTTTTTTTTTTTTTATTCTTAAATAGTGATGAAACAAAAGAAGTTCTTCTCCTGCTGGTGAAAATTGGAGCTTTGCATATGGTAGAAGACTTCACTGAAGAGCATAAACTTGAACACCTTAAAGCAATGATTGGGAAATAGAAACCTTTGAAGGAATGCTTACATTACTGAAATAAGCCTGGTATTCACACTAAACCAGTTCTAATATGAAATTTAATTAGTGGATCCTGTCTACTCAGAGGTAGTAGTAATCACTTTCTTGGTGTTAAATACATGAGGTGTTTTTTCAAAAATGTTTTTTACTGCTATCTACTCCTAGATTAGGGAGTATTTAGAAGTTGCAGTTGTCAAAGCAATGGTTCAGGCATCCTAAAATGTGTGACAGTGCTTTACTGCTGTATCCTTCTTGAAAGGAATCCTGCAAACAGAAAGTGCCTGTGAACTTCATCACTGTTAGCCAGTAAACAACTTGACAAGTGATTTTCAGAATTAATTGCTAAATACCATTCTGACTCAGCAGTCACTGAGCTCTTCCAACTTGTGGTCCACAGTGATTTTTGGAAGGGTTATTGTTAAGCCATTCCTAGTGAAAAGGATTCATGATGCCCCTGAAACAGGGGTGGGTCAGTGTGCAGGTAAGGAGCCAGGATTTTCATCACAAACATTGTGCTGATGAGAACAGAACAACTTCAGTTACTTTCTAGTAATTGGAGTTCTAGAAATCTCCCTTTGCTTTCCAGTAAGCTCTACAGAACTTCTTAATATCCTTATTTGGATATAATATTTTTTCTAATGTTTTGTAATTTTGTATATTTGCAATAAATATTGTTACAGAATAACAGGGATGTTTCATTCATCACAGAATCCATATGTTTTTGACTATTTCTCCAAAGTCTTCTGGGAATAGAATTTAAGTCTTGAAGATTTAATCCTTATGCTTTCTTTTTATATTTTTTTAAATTTAAAATATATTTTTGTAAAGTACTTTAATTGTAAATAGGTTTGATCAATATTACAGACAAAAGATAAAAAATAATTTGGGTTTTTTTTTTTTGGAAAATAGAGTATTTTACTGTGGTAATGACTCTTACAGCTCAATTCTTTAACATGTGACAAAATGTTATTAAGTTGTATGAAGAAAGCCCCTCCAGCTCCATTAACTTAAGAGTAGCTTCAGGATTTATGTTGCAAATATTGCTTTCTAATAATAAATTTCTGCTGTTTTTCCTCTCTGAATGCCAACAAAAATGCAACTGCTGATCAGCAGTAACCACAAGCTCATGATCTCATTGCTTTTCTCTTGTTCTGCTTTGCCTCATCCCAGCTTGTCTCTAGCACCAGCCTTGTGCTATGACAAAAATGTAATTGATGTTCTATCACAATTTAGCTCTGTAGATGTTTGTTTCTGGAAGAAAGATTCCTTTTAATGACTTGTAGGCGTTGAGAGAGGGCAGTGGACACTTGAGACAAAGAAATCTGTTTATGCTGAAATCTGCAAAGGTTAACTTTATTGTTGCTTTGCCCATGTATATACAAAACTTGACAATTGATCATCCATACAGTAAACTAAAAATATTTTCTCAGGAATTCTAGACTGCAAAAAACCATTATTATTTTCCAAGTTCTTCACTCAGTTCTTTCCGAATCTTTTCCTCTATTTTTGAAGTATCATATTCTCTCAGCATGTCAAACTCCAGCCATGGCTGGCTCCACTTCTGTGCCGCTTGCATTTTATGTTCTGGTAGCTCAAACTTGATTCCTTTTATATTGTATTTGGGCCTTTCCCACCGTTTTGACCATGGTTTAGGTTTCATTCGTACCTGCACCTAGAGTGAAAGATTAAAAAAATCATAAAAAACCCAAAACAATAAAAGGTATTAAGGAATTAGATTTTTGATGGTGATCTTAGCAAAAGGTGAGAACTGCTGCTCTAACAGGAGGAAAGTAAGAGAAAACTGACTAATCTCTGTGTGTTTAGTAACTGCTGCTTTATGGGTTATCATTGTATCTTGTAAAACCTTTTAATTAACTCTGTCTTGATTTAGCACGGAGTCCTTAATTGAAACATAAATTGAATCTAACTCATCTTTTGTAGTTTTGCTCCTTACTAAGAAAAAAATAAAAGCACTAGAGGAAAAGGGAGGAATTATACTAAGTTTCTACACAACACTTTGGCAGGGTCTGATGCTTTCTGGATCTTCCCTGAGATACAGATCATAGGGGACTCTTCCATCTTTCTTACCTTGTTTCCTGACACCAACCACTTCTGAATCAGTAACTACATTAATAACATTACTGTGAGAAAAGCTTTCCCTTCTGCACAGCTCTACACAGGAATGTGGAGGCTGCTCCTCTTTGCAAGTCTTCACAATTAACTCCAGAGGATGGCAGGTGTTTACATTCTCACCATTCTTTCATTACAGAAATGGCACAATTTGCCTGATTTTATCTACTTTTGTCACCCTGGTAACTGATGTAGTGAAGAGCTGCTCCAGCCTGCCAGGATAACAGTCATAAATGGAAGTTGTAAATAACCCTGTGCTTCCCTCTGAAACACGTGGCTCCTACCTTGTTCACAGGAATTTCCTCGTGGCCCATACGAGGCACAGGTTTCATGTTGACATCGAAAGTGCTGTACTCGGGGAGGGCATCCCGCAGGTACATCAGGTTCTCATCCAGCCTCTTCTCCAGCTTCAGCACCTCGATCGCCTGGATTCGAGGACTGTACAGATCGTAACAGATTTCAACCCCTTAGAGACAGAAAGCCTGGTTAATGAACCAAATTCAAGAGAAATACTAACACCCAAGAAGTACTGCTTCAGTTACAGGTTCCTGAATCATTGCAAACTAGTTTTAGTCCTCAGAGCACTACAGTGCTGAGTGCACTTGTGGCTGTACTCATCCACTGTGCACATTTCTTTGTAAATCAAATCTTTGAGACAGAATGGCTTAAGAGACTTGAGTGGCTCAAATTTAAGGAAGATGAGCTTGGGTTTTCAACTTTATTTCCTTTTGGTTACAATTGTTGTTAATTATGCATCTCAGTGTAGGTGTAGTGTGTATGAATAGGCACCCATCCCTTTTATATTTGCCCTCAGAACTCCACTATTTGCACTGCTCCTGATTTTGTCATAATCCAGAATATGAACCTGTGATAAAACTCTTTGAATCTGTTGCTTATTAAAATAGTTCACATGTCCATCACTAGGTTCATGAAAACACAGTGCTCAGACTGGGCTGGTGTTTACATGGCAACAGACAACCCAGGCTCAAACATAAGCACAACCATCACAGAATGTCTAAAAATTACTGTGTAGTCCCATGCCTTTCAAGCACATGAGCATTTCTGTGTACAGAGTTTTAAACTTGCACAGTACTCTTAACAGACAGACTCATACTTTCACTTCAATCTGCTGTTTACCTCCCCACAGACTAAATTTCTACAACATAGCACATTTTTTGCTAAACCTTTGCAGCATAATTACCACAGCTGAAACCCCACCTTGGTCTTCTATGACGTTCCGAAGGACAAAGGTAGCTCCGAGCCCTTTCCCTCCCCTCTGAATGCAGATCCCAACAAAGCGGTTGGATTTGTCACTGGCGTAGGGATTTGCAGTTGTCACAGCGAGCACACTGCCTGCCAAAAAAATGGCTTAAAATTAATAGCTTGTCCCAGTTAATACGTGCCAAAATGTGGGAAGAATCAGGCAAAGTGCATTGCAGGTGCATTTTGAAAATACTTTTGCTTCCCATCAAAACTGCCAAAAACAGAAAAAAACTGCTAAGGTGATCTGAATGAATATAGATTGAAGTGATATTGCAGGTCAACTGCAAATTTTCTTCACCTTTATTTTTTTGTTCTCCCCTATCCAAATTGAATATAATTAATCTATTGTATTTTTTTTTCTTTTGCTCTACTGGTAAAACATATGCTCAAGAGCCAGGATTTCACATATGGAACACATTATGATTACTCTTTAAATTAATCAGGATGTAAACACGAGATTAAAATATGAAGTATTACATACAGAAACACATCCAGTTGATCAAACACACCTGAGACTTTATATTTTATGCTATTCTACACATGACCACACTTTCTAACACCCCACACATACTGCCAGAATTAGGAAAGTTTTAGTGCTGACACTGACCGACATAGAATTCTGGGATGTTGAACACTTTTCTTCTCTGTATCATATCCTTCCTTTCTATATAGTATTTAAGAGGATCTTTTCTCCCTCTGGGAGGTATAAATTCAGGGCTTAGGAACCTGTAAGAAAAGCCACACTTTAAGAAGTATGAAACAAAACCATTTGCATAAAAGTTACAAGACAATTCCAAGTATTTGCCTTAAGAATTACCAGAATTACCAGCTGTTGCCTTTTCAGAGGTACAAACTGCAGTCTATGAAGTCACAAATTTCATTAAATTATTATTTTTTGTTATCTAAAAGGAATTTTTGTGGGAATTTGATGTTGGTTTTGGATTTTAAGTGGCTTTTTTGTTGTTGTTGGTCTTTTAAACAGGTATTTTCCCAAACAGTAATGCATGTTGGTCTTAGAGGAGCTGAATGAAAGAGGACAGTTCAATTTGTGCTGTTGCAGATTAGAAACAGGATATTTCATGGTTTAATTGTAATCTCCATGACAGAACACTTACTATTTGTTGACTTTAATAACAGATATGGAAGAATCTATGACACAAATTTTACAAACTGATTCTACAGGACACACCACATAAATGTCCTTTTAAGTTACAGAAGCTTAGATAGACTGGTAAAAATATTTTTTTGCCACAAAAAAATTAAACCATGCCAAAGAATTTCCTCATGGTCTGGACCTCAGTTACTGACTGCTGAGTGCACACTTCCTGACATGGACTGGCTTGAGCTGAGAACCATTTCCAACAGATATCTGGATTTGTTCACTTTGGTTTGGATGGCAAGATCACCTGCCCTCAGAGCAGATGGATGAAGGTGGACTCAATTCAGTTGTACAGATGCATCTTAAAAGTCCTGGATCTGGCCAGGAGAGAAGTGCTCAACAGAGAGGAGGACAAATGCAAATCTGTCCTAGAAACCTCATGGGGGCTGTGGGGGCAGCAGAAGTTCTGGCTGGTGCTGCTGCCCACAGGGAGCCCCACAGGCAGCAAACAACAGCAAAACCACTCATGGTCTTCAGAGTGATGTTTTTGGAGGGGGCAGATAAACAATACAGTAGCAGCACTCTTCTTCCAGACACAGCAATGCAGTTTGAACCACTGGGTCACTTAAAGCAGTGCAAAATTGGGTTTAAAACCCAAGGAGGCTGTGGATGGCCCGATCCTGGTAGTGTTCATGAACAGGCTGGGTGGGACTTGGAGCAAGCTGGTGTAGTGAGGTGTCCCTGCCCATGGCAGGGGGGGCTGGAATGAGATGATCTTTAGGTCCCTCCCAACCCAAACCATTCTGTGATTCCATGAAATGGGTTGAGGTGACGTCAAAAACGCCCAGGATGAGACATCTCATGAAGACTACCAGAGACACCAGGTCCATGTCACAGCCAGTGATGCACAACCAGCCTTGAGGTCTGAGGCAAAGGCAGACACAGGACCTGTGTCCCTGTCCCACTAGAGAGATGCCTTTAACAGACATAATCTCCCACATTAACCCCAATTTTGCAATAGTATTAACTGCTCTACATTTTTTTAATGTTCCATTGCTTTCAGAAACTCCCAAAGCAGTATTTTAAGGTGTTTTGAACAAACTTCAACACAAACGGTCTTTGCTAGAATTTGACAAGCTGTGCTGGGTTGTTCTCAGGCGCTCACAGGGAGCAGGCTGAGCGCAGCGCGGGTGCGGCGCCGCCAGCTCAGGGACACCCTCACCTGCTCTCCTCCTTCCGCGTCTTCCTGTCGATAATGACGGGCTTCGGAGGCGGCTGGAATCTCGGTGGCTTTCCACCGCTGCTCACTCGATACCCCGATAAAGAAAAGCACCCTGTAAAACAGAAAGCAGCGTTTAAAACACCGGTGATTTCATGTTTAACGTCTCCCCACCAAAGCAGGGCATGGCACCGCCACCCGCCCGCCAGGCCGGGAGCCTCCTCCCCCCCGCTCTGTGGGCCAGGGGAGGTTCGGGGGAGGTTCGGGGGTGCCCGGGGGTGCCCGGCGGTGCTCACGGGCGGGCAGGGCGATGCCGGCGCCCCTCAGCACCAGCCTCCCGCAGGCGGCCGCCATGGCGGCTGCGGCGCGGCCGTACGGCGAGCGCGGGGGGACAAAGCGCGGCGGGACGGAGCGCGGAGGGCGCTGAGCTGGGAAGGTTTGGGTTGGGTTCTGCGGAGGAATTCCTCGCTGGGAGGGTGGCGAGGCGCTGGAACGGACTGCCCTGATAAACTGTGGGCTTCCCATCCCCGGAAGGTGTTGGAAGGGGCTGGTTCAGTGGGAGGTGTTGGAGGGGCTGGAAGGTGTTGGGGAGGATGAACCCTCTCTAATAAGCCATATATTCCAAGAGCAGTCTTCAGAGATCTCTCATCTCCATCCATCCAAACCGTCCTGGAGTCCAGCGTCCTCACAGAAAGGGACATTAAAGACCCTCCCAACCCAGCCCAGCCCGTTCTGTAATTCAGGGATAAAGGAAACAACGCGGCCCTTTCCCCTCCATCCCTCAGGGCGGTTTCGGGTGTGGCAGGGACCGAGCCCCGGGGCAGGGAGAGGGGCAGGGGCTGCCCGGGGTGCGGAGCTGGAGCTCCCTGCGCATCCCTGGGATGATCGCGGCACAGCGCCGGCACCCTCACAGCAGCTCCTCGAACATCACAGGCATCCACCACAGTCTAGGAATTCTGCTTTGCCATGTGAAAGTGGTGGTGTATTTTCCAGAAACACACTCCTGCGTGTCTTCATGATAAAAACACTTGACTAAAATTTTTTTTTCGAGGCCATTGTTATCTCTGTCCATAATTCAAATATTCCACTGTCCCAATGCTTTTCACTAAGATCAGTTTAGAAATTACTATATGCTAAAGTACTGTCGAGGTATCTTTAATACATTTGTGTCAGGTTTCCTTGGCCATCAGCCTGGATTCAATTAGTGCCTACAGAAGCAGG